GGAAGAACAGAGAGAAGGGTTATTGTCCGCATTTCTGAAACACCTTTGGTGCTCCTTTTCTTTTTTTTCTATTGGCTATTAGATAAAGCATTTTCTTTAGTTGCGTAATCTACCTTTTTGTTATGCTTTTCCAAGCCTAATTGCCTAATTATTCTATAAATATTTATAAACTGTCAAATATTGATCACAGTTCATTTGAATTATTCTATAAATAGTCAGTGTTTGTAACTCTTAATTAGTTAAATCATTCCGGATTAATGTTACTTTTATTTCCTACCAATTACTCCTTGTGATCGTTCGTGGAAAAGTATGTTCAAATCTTTAATGTAATGTAATTCATATATTTTATCGTTCAGGTTGTAACCAGTTGAGAAGAATCCTCGAAATAATAAAAGATGAGCTCATATTATCATCTGGTACAATTGTTGTTCTTGCTTTGTTCAAGTTTATTCTGTCATATCTTGACCACACTTCATATGAATAGTTCAGTTGAAATTGCCAAATTTTGGAAAAGCAGACATAAAATTAGGAGTAGGGGGAAATGTAGCGAAACGTCAATCTGCTGAAGAAAGAATAATTACAAGTGGACTGGTGAGTATTTCCAGAATCTGTAAGATGATGTTACAGGATTGGACTACGCCGACTCCTAGATTAGAAATAGGAAGTGAAGTGGTAGAGCACGTTGACCGCTTCACCTACTTGGGAAGTACCAACAGCCAGCCCCAACGGCTTGATCTCTGACGAAATCTCAGCACGTATACAGAGGGCTAGTTCCGCATATGCCAGTTTACGCCATCTCTGGCTTAGTAGACGTGATATCCGACTGGCTATTGACCAAAGGGCGTGTGTACTGCTCATCAGTCCGATCCGTCCTCCTTTATGGCTGGCTGTGAGCAAGACCTGGCCATTGAGAGTGGAAGACATGAAAAAGCCGGTGGCTGTCTTTGATCATAGGTGCCTGCGCTCTATCTCCCGTGTGAAGTGCTATAATAAGGTGAGCAATATTGAGGTTAGGCCTCGGTCGAGTGCTAGGTAGGTGGGAGGGGAAATCAGTCGATAAGACTGTGAAATTACATCGATTGAGATGGTTAGGACATGTCTTACGTATGACTGGTCATCGCCTTCCTCGACAATGGGCAATGGTAGATGACATAGGGTCAGGCTGGAAAAGAGCCAGCGGCGGTCAAACGAAAACAATGGCACCAGTCAATGAAATCTACAACAGTTAGTCTTAGCCAGCCAGCCACGTAGGAAGGTATAGACTGGCTTCCTGACTGGTCGGGGTCCTCGGGATGACGGTAAAAACCAATGGTTGGAAACAATTGGTGACATGGCTCAAAATCGTTCTCAGTGGATGGCGCAGATGCATCCACTCCTTGTGACTTATGATTTCCAATGAAACTGTTTTGTTCTTCGTTATTACTATACCTTTGTCTCACACCTCTGTTTACTGTCTATATTATGCATTCCCCCTACTTTCTTCTCTTGCTTTGTGTGCTACATGGAGTGTGGCGACTTGAACTGGCGCACATATGTGCAAAGTTCTATGTCGAATACAGACAGACAGACAGACAGACTGTAAGGTGACGGCATTTGCACCATTGAGAATGCTTCTTAACCTATTCATCAGCACTCTCCTCTTAGTATCTTGAGGATCATCCCAGATAGACAGACTAGACGTTTCTATCTAATATGGCCTAAACCAACATTGAATGATTTTATCAACTGATATCATGTTTTCATTTGACCATTCATAACTCATCTGCAAACCACTGCTATTTCAGCTAACATGGCTCGTTGAATCGTGAAGAATCTAGAAGACCTGGATTTCGCGCGTAGATGATTTATGTTTGATGTCACACAAAATCGAAGACTTACAAGCGAAAACCGACAAACTGGTCGAAGAAGCAGCCAGAGAAGACAGGACTGACTCCAGGTGAACATAGACAAGACGGAGGTTATGAAAATAACCAACCAAGAACAACAACAACAACAGCAGCAGGAACATCCAGCGCCAGTCACCATCAACGGGAGGGATTTGATGAAAGAGGTTACCTCATTCACTTATCTAGGGAGCATTGTCTCAACTACAGGCAGGTGGAACAGACGAGGATGTCAAATCGAGAATCGGGAAGGCGAGAAACACATTCATCAACCTGAAACCAATCTGGAAATCTTCCGCTGTCACTCAACTCAACATCAACAACAAAATTCGGATTTTCAATACAAACGTCAGTCAAGTCAGTCACTTCTTCTATACAGATGGATCAGAAAGTTAGCGGCGGGTCACAAAGAATGAGTATTTCCAACAGCCTGTTGCACACCTTTATCAACAACTAACTAACTGTCTTCGCTGGCTCTATACTGAAGATCAATCAGATGGCCGCCGGAAAGAACAAGAACCAACAAGAAACAAACTATGGGAAGAAACAAACAAAACAAGAAGCAATCGCCCAACAAATATGCAAGAGAAAGTGGAGATGGATTGGACACTCACTCACTGGCTGAGGAGGCCACTCGCTGGGTGACATCGCCCGTCAGGCCAACGCTCGAGTGGAACCCGAAAGGGAAGCGGCGAGTTGGTCGTCAGTGCAAGGGTGACATGGAGGAGATCGTGTGAAGAGGAATTGAAACAGTATGGATTAACATGGACGCAGGTGAAAGGTACAGCAGAAGACAGAAGCAAGTGGAGACGTGTAGTTGAAGCCCTATGTTCCACTAGGAACCCAAGGGAACAATAATAGTAATAATTGCTCGTTGAATTGGTGACCTATCATGCACACCATACACACACGCACACCTTAACCCTAAGTTGAATTTAGTGATATAGAAAATACAGCTGGACTTCATAATTTTAACTGAACAGTAAAATTACTTTGCATATACATATATGACATACATAGTAGTGTTGTGGTGAGAGCCGTTTGCCAGCCAAAATTGGTAGACGACAGTAAATTATTACGTCAATGTTTAACGTCCCCAATATTGGTCATGAGAAAAAAAATAAGAACAAAGACTGCTGACTCAACAACCAATCACAGCAGACTTTGCGTAGGTGGATACAATTTGCAGATAGATAACTTCAAGAACTTGAAGAAACGGCCACAAACAGATGAAAGATTAACGTTCAGAGAGAGAGAGAGAAACCACCAATCAGAAGACTGTGTTTGTTTGCTTACAATAATCTATAATAATGTACATGAAAATCTACATAAATATCTGGCCCTTGTCTTCTGTTGTTACAATGTCAGTTGTTCAACGGTAGAATATGTTCAGTAGGCACGCGACAATAAATCCGAGTTCGAAGCCTGGCCGGATGACGCACTAATCGATAGATAGTAAGACCGTGAAGCTAACAACCCTACCCCGTAAAAAAGCACGGCGAAGTACAAGAATATAGTCCCAGGATTGTAAATGTTCCAATGACCCTGATTGCATGCTAGTCATTGGTTGAGGAAGCTTACCATTATTCTAGCGCTAAAATGAACCCTGTTCATGGGCTCAGATGCAAATTCCATCCAGATCACGTTTTCCAGTACTGCCTAGATAATGGATTGATAGGACGTACTCGGATATGCGGTTGTGGTGCTTCCATGAACCTCCAGTAATAATCCAGGTCACTGATGGATATACATTCAGATGTACACAGTGTAGGAAGCGAATAAGTGTGCGTACTGGTAAGTGACACTCTGAATTAATTGTCTTCTAAGAACTTTCTTTGGAAAGTCGAAACTGTCTTTGACGAATATCTTGTTTCTGTCCAATTACTGGGTGCGATCTACTGCAGCTTAAACAGCTAATACGTTGACGTCTACTGTGCAGTGGTTTCAATTTTGTCGAGATTTAGCCTCGTGGAAGATGAATAGTATTACTCAGGTGTTGGGAGGAGTCGGTGTAGTCGTCCATATCGATGAAACCGTTCTTATCAAGAAGAAGTACAATCGGGGGCGTGCCAGAGCGAATAACGTTTGGGTTTTAGGAATTTATGACACCCAGATTCGCAAAGGGTTTATCGAGCTGATTCCAGATAGGAGTGCTGATACACTCCTCCCTATTATTCAGTGTCTCGTCTTACCAGGCACTACCATTCACACAGAGGAACTGGGTTATATACATCATCGAGTCAACCACCATTCCAATGACTTCGTCGACCCCAGAACCGGTACCCATACGAATTCAATAGAAGGTTTCTGGGGAAGACTAAAAAATAGAATAAGAGCTATAAACGGTTCTCAAAACCAAGTTATTTTTAGTCATCTGGATGAATATATGTATAGAAATTGGTTCAATTTAAAAACTGAAACCCCTATACAAAATTTGGAGATTTTTTTATCTCATATTAGAGAAAAATATCCTGTTTAATGTTTTTTATGTAAATATAAGTAAAATTTTATGCAAAAATCGTCATTTTTCCTGATTGGTCGACTCAGGGTCACTCGTGCATTCGCATGCCTTGGGACTCTATTGTAGAACTTTGCCAAAAACACAACACAACACCACCACTATCGAAAATTGAAAGCTAGACGCCACCCACTGAGGGGATGCAGAGGAATTAGAGAGAGAGAAAAGCGTTACGTAATAATATGTATATGTATATGCGTATATTCACGTTTTTATAAGTTTGTTGAAAACACACAATAGAAAAGAAAGAAAAAAGAAAAGAAAAGAGAACAACTTAGTTATTATTATCTCACACTAATGACAAAATTAAAATGAAAACACGATTGAAATAAGGATTATATATGGTATTTAATAATAATAATAATAGTAATGTATAAATAAATAAATAAATAATATTATATAATTAATGGTGACAGAAATTAACTGGCAATCGATCGTCTTGTCAACAGAACAATCCTTTCTCTCTAGCTCACAGAATACATTAACGTATATATTTAATGGAGAAAAAAGAAGAAAAGAAAAATAAGACAGAGAACTTTTGTTTTTTTCAAAAAAAAAGTAAATCAATAAATAAAATAAAAACACAAGAAATGAACAAATCAGAAAACAAAAATATTGATTTTTTTAATAAAAAAAAGTCAAAGTGGTCACATAATCGATCAATTGATCAATCAATCAATATTATCTTGACTGTAAGCACAGAAAACGAAAGAAAGAAAAAATGAAAGAAAAGGTTGTGTGTTTTGTTTGATGATGAGGACAACAACAACAACGATAAAGACGATTACAACAACAACAACAACAACAGAAGCAATAAAAGGACTATCACATAATAATAATAATAAGTAAGCGCGCCAACGGTATCATACATAAAGATAATTTCATTTAACACAGAAATTGGACACATAAAATAATGCATTATGATGTATTATTATTATTAATATTATTGATTCTCTGAAGAAAGACAAGCAATATTAAAGAGTTGGTTTGTATTCTTCTTCTACTCCACAGAAGGAGAAGAAGACGCAGAAAAGAAGGATATATACGTAGATAGATAGATCGATATATGGTAGGTCTTTTAGGGAAGACAAGTCGTATGTGGTATATGCAGACTTCACATATGATATGAATGGTAGTAGATGGATGGATGGATGGTATCAGTAGGCGGAGGGGGGGCGGGGAGGAGACACTCACTTCTATCTAAGACATAAAACGTAATAATGAAATAAGTGTGCGCGCATGCATCTTTGTGTGCGTGTGGCTGTGTCATATTTCCTACGAGAAACTCTTCTTGGACGCACACACGCACTCACAGCTGTGCACACAAACACACCCGATCATGAATATACAAGTAAGTAAGTATTAAGCTTCAACATCTCTTAAAAGTATAGAAAATAATAATAATAGTAATAATAATAAAAACACAACGAGGTAATAGATTGTTTTAACAAACAACAAGAGAGGATAACGAGAAATGATGAAAGCATTTTATCGCCGCCTCATAAAATTTGTAAAAAGCACTGTGACGAGATGAAGAAGCAAAGAAGGCTTTAGAAGAAAGGGGGAGAGAGAGAGAGAAAAATAAGCGAACCACATGGAGTTTAACCGGACACAAATGCATAATCATCACTGTTCACCAACCAATATACTACTACTACTCATAGTAAAATCGTGGTGGTGACAGAGTTCGTCACTTTGTGAGTGTGTGTGTGTGTCACGCATAGACGAACAGAAGAGATAAACGTATAGACGATGACGACAACAACAACAGAAGATCGAAATGAAGCAACGTCTTGATCACATAAACACACACACACACACAAGCACACTTTTTAAATATGCAGCATAAGGATGTGTATATAGACGGGGGAGGGGGGAGTCGGAGTCGGTATGTAATTTGACTGTTGCATATACTTCAGTGGAATATATATGGATATAAGTCATATATAAACAGGCGTTGAACAATCTGACATTTTTTGACACTTTCTTCGTGGTCTTCATGCTTCGTTTCATGTGAAATTACTGAAATCAGTTTTCAACTTGATCGATGGTGAAGAAACTTGAGATTGTTTAGCCGTAACAGATCTATTATTCTGATGATGATAGGCATTAAATGGTATGCCTTTTATGATATGAGATTTTAATTGATTTTGAACAGATATATTGTTATTGTTACCATGACTACCATTACTGCCGCCACCAGCAGCAGCATTAGTATTAGTAACAAGAGGAGTAGAAAATTTGATTGCATTCTCTAAACGTTGTTTTAAATCACCAAGAATTTGAAAAGCAGAACGAAATTCATTTGGAAAACATGGAGCTATTGTTATGACATGTTTCAATGTTATTGTATGTATAAAATAAAATAAATCTGATGAATTATAAGTAGAATTATTATTTTTACTATGACATTGATTCGATAGCATAGATGAATCATTAGAAAGTAGATTACATAATAATGATAAATAGATTAATAATAAAGCTTGACGATTTGAATTTTCCGCTTTATTGATTAATGAAGTAAGTAAATCAAATGAGGTATTTAAACAAATTGTTAATTCTTCTAGATTAATTTGATTATGGTATATATCAGAGGATTTATCGAGTAACTTTTGTTGTTTCTGTTGTTGTTGTTGTTGGTGGTCTTTAGAAGAAGAAGAGGAGTGCATTTCAACAATTTTTGTTAGATCATATAACCAACGAAACACCTGAAAAACATTAAAACATTAAAAAAAAATAATGAAATCATAGAAGTACGTGGAAAATACAAAAAAAAGAATCAAACGATCGAAATCAACCTCCACTACAAATGTTACAGGTTATAAAGTTCAGCTACAGCACTCACTACATAAAATTACACACAACCATACAATAGGATAGAAGGGATAAGATGACAGTTTTAAGATCTAATGTAACAGGGTGGAGGGAGAGATTGATAACAGAAGCTTTGTTTATCGAATCAACTGGAAATACGTGTCTGCAATAGGGACGATTCAACACCTATCCATCCAGATATCTGCAAAATTCTACTACCCCTACGACAATGAATAGGAGAGAATAAAGAAAACTATAAAACTCAAGTTTCGAAGTCGTGTTATGATGTCACCACTTTTTTATATTTCCCAATAACACTGAGACTGAAACAGGGAGGGGTATCATCTCCAGCCAATGGCAATACTGGAAGCAGCTTATCTGAATTTATTTATAATCCTCATGCAAAAATTACACTCGATAACTGGTTTCTAAGATACGAAGACCTATTTAGAGTGGATTTTGAGAGCAAAGATGATGCCTAGAAAGTTACACGCTTATTACGCAGGTTCGATGCAGCTGAGTTGGACAAATACTGCGATCTGATTCTTCCTCAAAAGCCCAATGACAGACAGCACGTTTGACGAAAGCATCCCAACACTCCGTCAGAAGTTTGGTAACCACAGATCCTTGTTCAACATACACTGTTACACTGTATGAAACTGGTGCTGAACGAAAACGATGCTAATCACACCCAACTGGGTATTGTTAACCACTAATGTCAACAGTTCAAGTATGCGTCGGTGGCATAGCGGTTAGAACGCTCGCCGACCATGCACATGGTCCGGGGTTCGATTCCCGGCTACAGACGCACTCCTTTACATCGCTAAGCCAGAAAAAAAGCTGGTAAAGGAGAAAGGTTGGGCACTGCTAAAGAAACTTCAAGCCACACTAGCTTGAAGCCCTATGTTCCACTGGGGAACGTGAAGGAATAAAAAAATGTCAATAGTTCAAATTGTTGACAGGAGATCAGTTCAAAGTCCTTATCTTCATCTATGAGTTGCAATGTTCCTACTTTACTGACACGCTTGTTAAGCAGACTTAAACAAGATCCACAAATGACCTTGAAAGACACTGCGGACAAATATCAGAAATTAACAAACCATCATCACAGAGATAATAAGACGCTGATTCAGTCTCGTGGTAACAATTCAGCAAAAGTTCCTGCAGTGCATTCAGTATCGTCGACGTCACATCCACCGCATCGTTCGCAGCAGAAACCATCTACAGCAACTTCAATTATTGTAAATTAGAAGAATGAACAAACGAACACCTTCCCCAGGTGTTAATGTATTCTTCTAACCTTACAATTTAACAAAGACTTTTTATCTAGAATGTATTTGTGTAAATCTTTCAAGACACATTTCGAGTACTATGAATGATATTCGAATTCATAGAACAGTCAGCAGCAAACATACATCCTAACGGACGTCATAATTTCGTATAATCAAATGAAATGCTTCATATGAACTGTGATCAAGATTTGACGGGATAGTTACAAAATAATTGAGCGCTTAGTGTATTTCCGTGCATCAAACACCTTACGCTCATTACTGGTGAAGGTTAAGGATAAAATAGAACAAGAAAACCAGCAAAATTGTGTATACCAGATCAGTTGTGGGGATTGTAACGCCGTATATGTAGGAAGAACTTCCAGACAGGTAAATGTAAGAGTGAAAGAGCATAAACAATGTCTAAAGGTGGTTCTAAAGACCTCGGCAGACTTGAAGAAGCTAGAAAACAACTCAGCGATTGCACTGCATTAGATAGAAACGGGACACAAAATCGACTTTGATAAGACTAAGGTTTTACAGAAAGGCTTTGTTTCATATAAAGAAAGACTGACTGCAGAAGCCCTACATATATGGGTGAATCCCAACAGTTTGAACAGACGTGAAGGTGTGATCTTCGGTGATGCATGGCAAATCCTGACTTATAAATAAATTGGATATGTTTTCAACAACTAGTCACACTTCATCAAATTCCCGTTGGTCTACGTCTTCTTATGGAGAGAATAACAAATTTATATTATATTTGTAACTTTTTTCTATAGTTTGGTTTGTAAGGATTTGTTATGTTTTTACGAGTTGATCACGGACTATCCGGTCAAATCTTGATCACAGCTCATATGAGAATAACAAATGTTTTATGACTGTTCATCCACACACACATCCACACACACAACACTGATACTGTATATACACATTTTAACAAAAGTAGACTAATTGAATTTTAGATTTTTCCCGTCGATTGATTGGACCGAAGTGCTCGGTCTCAGGTTGATATGTCGGCTTCTTGAGCAGATGCTTCGACGATGTCTGGGCGTTTAATTAGTATTTAATTGGTGGATGGTGACTAGCAGTGGAATCCAGGATAACGCGCATTTCGTCCTATTTGGGACTCGTCATCTGGATGTACCTGCATTTCTCAGTGAGTGATGATGTTCCCACCGAGGCTCGAACCCAGAGCCCATAGTTTCAAACTCCAAAGCGTTATCCACTAGACCACTTGGGCCACGAGAGTCACCTCCTGTGCAACGGGTCATATTGATTTAATTGAATTTTAGATTTTTCCCGTCGATTGATCCAGACGAGTCCCAAATAGGACGAAATGCGCATCCTGGATTCCACTGCTAGTCACCATCCACCAATTAAATACTAAAAGTAGACTAATTTTGAAAGTGTGGGGTCAAATTTTGATCACAGTTCACATAAAAATTTTGTTTTGTTTATTATTATTATACCTATTGCTAGCTGTTTCTTGATTCACATGACAGGACAAACAATTTAAAAACAAGAGATGTACTTTTATATATAAACATACTATTTTATTTATTTATTTATTATAGATGTTGATGCCTGTTGCATGACTCATGATTGGACAAAGTTTAAAAAAACAAGAGTTGTTCCTTTTATATATAAACCTCTGTTATGTTAATTTCGATTAATTTCCCTGAAGAAGTTCGAACCAGATTGCCAAACGAAACGTTGGAATTAATCATTTCAATTTCGCTGAGATTTTACAAATAGAATTTTACAAATGAAATGCTATTCCATACTAATTTGTATATTGGATATATTAACCACAGTGAAACAGTATCACATTTTTGATGAAGTTTTGTTCTATGAGCTGGATGGTTTATTTGCAAAGCTTTCATTGCCCTACTAGGAAACATCTTCACCGCATACTTCAATTTGTTGAAGCGAGCTTTTAGGTTTCTCCACGAGTTTATTAGTCATCTCTCCCGGTGACCTTCAACATGACTGATTGTTTTTGTGTGTCTTCACACCCTCTTTTTTTCCTTCACGTTCCCCAGTGGAACATGGGGCACCTTCAAGCTAATGGCTTGAAGTTTCTGGAGCAGTGTTTGTTTTACAGGATGGGATTGCTAGCCTCATGCCCAACCTTTCCTCTTTACCAGCATTATTCCTGGCTCAGCGAGGTAAAGGAGTGCCTCGGCCGGGGATCGAACCCCGGACCTTCACACCCTCTAGGCTACTTATATTGGAACTGATTGTTATATCATATCTAGTACCACATTTACTGAGTGATCACGTTTCAAATACAATTTACTGTTTGCATCATCATATTGTAACGACAGCAGATCGTTTATTCAGAAAATCAAGAGATATTTATAGATTTTTACTTGCCTTATTATTAGCGTTATTGTTAGCGGAGAAGCAACCTCTTCTGTCTGATTGGTTGTTTTCTTGCTGAAGGTTATTCTGTTATCTCTTTGTGGCTGTTTCCCAGAAAATTAATTCATATATCTGTGAATCATATTACCACACTTTAGCTCCACTGTGATTGGCTGGTGATTTTCTCAAGGTTAAAGCCATCGAGTGGAACCCAAAAGGGAAGCGGCGGCGAGTGGGACTTCAGTGCACGGGTGACATGGAGGAGATCGTGTGAAGAGAAGTTGAAACAGTATGGAATAACATAGATGCAGGTGAAAAGTACAGCAGAAGACAGAAGTAAGTGGAGACTTTTCACCTGCATCCATGTTAATCCATACTGTTTCAACTCTTCTTCACACGATCTCCTCCATGTCACCCTTGCACTGACGTCCCACTTGCCGCTTCCCTTTCAGGTTCCACTCGAGCATTGGCCTGATGCGCGATGTCACCCAGCGGCCTCCTCAGCGAGTGAGTGTCAAATCCATCTCCACTTTCTCCTGCACTTTCACGTTCTCCTCTCCTAGATTACTAGCTCACTAGTTTTCTAGCCGGTCCCAAGCCCGGATAAAGAGGGAGGGTTGGGGCGTGATGCTAGCAACTCCGCCCCTAAAACTTAACCAAATTGCTACAGAAACTTCAACTCATAAATGTATTAAAAATACCAAAAATATAAAAAATAACCTTATTTTTCGCTGGAATCGGGTAAGTGAAATGAATCAGGCTGGTGAAAGCCTTCGGGAAGCCAGTCAGCCGATGTGCCTCCTTTCGATGAAAGCAAAAATAAGGATGGGGACGTGGAATGTTCGTACAATGTACGAAACTGGGAAGGCTGCCCAGGTAGCCGCAGAAATGAGAATATATGGAATAAAAATGTTGGGAATCTGCGAGAGCAGATGGAACGGATGTGGAAGGTGCCAACTATCAACTAGAAACGTCATCCAATAAGCAAATTAATATGGAATGTCAAAATACATTTTCTAAAAAAGCTTTTAACTACTAACAAATAATAAGTAGTATGGTGCGAAAAAGGCAAATTACAATCTATTAGCAAACAGTATACAAAAAAAAAACTGATTTATTGACAGGAAAACAGTGTTACTATTACACTACTACTTACTTGAGGTGTTAGCGTTTTTATGAACAATGCACTAATTGAAGGTTCATGATGACTACACAACGATTCAAATGATCCTAAACAGATAATTCGACTTTGTAAACATTTTGAATTCAGCAGGTTATTAAGTATTAGTGGATCTTCAGGGGATGAATTAACATTTCCATTTGTCAGGACATCTGTTTGTGAATTATCCAACAATTTCGGTAGATTCCATCCACGATAAAGTAAATTTGACAATACACTGGTTAATTCTGATGATTTGAACACTTGTAGAGGACAACTGTTGCATATACGACTGACTAGATAAGCTGAGGCTAAACAACATCTCGGTAATGGATAAACATCAGTCTGTAATGACAGAATAAGAATAATAATGAACAAATAAATATGAAATAATAATAATACAATGGCTTAATGATTGCAGTCAACAACAAAAAAGAAGGAGTATTCAATACGACGTTAGAAGTTCACTGTTTGTCTCTCTCTTCACAACTACTCCAATTTTATGTTTAGCAATGGACAATATACCCACTTCCCTAGCTTCATACCTATACAATATAAGCGCAACCTAATTCGTTGTCTTAGTCATAGAATTAGACGCATATGTACCGACGACTGCATTGAAGATGAAATAAGAAATCTTACAAACACCTTGCTACAAAACGACTATCCTACCAACTTTGTAAAGAAGTACATCTATGAAACTACACACAAAACTAAGCGAGACACAGTAAGTAAGAAAAAGCTTTACTTAAATTTACAATTCAAAGGCGATATATCCAGAGACATATTAAACTGTAGATTAACAAGATCAATTGAAAGAACTTTCAGTGCCGCAAAACTGCATGTCACTTTCTCAACCAAACCGATATTGACACTGTGCATTAAACATAGATTACCCAAAATGGCGACATCAATGTGTGTATATAAATTCAACTGCTCCTGTGGAGCTAGTTAAATAGGTTGTATCCAAAGGAATTTATCTTTACGCACTCGTGAACATATTCCGGTCTGGCTTGGGAAAAGAGCAACCAAATCATTAAATAGTGCAATCCTGGCTCATCTAGTGGATAGCGAATACAGTATCAAAGTAGAAGAGTCATTTACAGTTGTGTATCGAGTACCAAACAATCTCCCCAAAGGCACACGATTACGCCTCCTAGCCATAGCTGAGGCTTTGGAGAATAATAGAGAAAAACCAGACTTATGTGTACAGAAAAAACTTATTCACTCTCTCTGTCTACCCTGGCCCACTATAAGGTCACCAGGATCATAATTTTCCGTATTATTATCACCATTATTATTATTTTGTGTTTTCATGTCTTTATTATCCATTTCTCCACCCAGTTTATTTCACCTCTTTGTTACCCTTAATTTTGTCAACCTTTGTGATTTTATACTAAGCCTACCAATTCTGTAACATCTTATTACAATTTACAATTTAGCCTCTTTATTTTATCATTAGACATTATCGGTCAGCCCTCACATTCAGTGTCCCCTTTGTTAATGTGTGTTTGTATGTATTTTGTGGTTATCGCATTTCTCTCACCCCAGTGACACTTGTATTCTGTTGACTATAAAACACAGCACTATATCACCCAATTGTTCATTCACACTTCATCACATTTTTCTGACTATACACCCTATACACATTTGATTGATTATGTTAACTAATGGACTATCATCTCAACTTACACATGCACCCCAATACAGTTTCTGATATTATTTTCATTTGCCTTTATTGGCTATATGTACTCTATTATTCATGGATTTATAACTGTAGAGCCTGAAGAAGAAGTTATCGAAAACAATTGTTCGCTCAAAATCTTGTTTTAATTAAGGATAAACTATTTGATTTCGAACAAAGCATAGAATGGCAGTCAAATGTCTCCCTCCCTACCTCAACAGCTTCATCGACTTCGAGAAGGCCTTCGATAGACAGCGATTACCGAGACTAATTTACGGAACTACTTCAACACTACAGCGTGCGTGCCTCGAGTCTTTATCAACCTCATTCAACAGCTGGCTATCTATATGACAGTGCCACGTGTCAAGTGATCCACAACGGAAAGCTCCACAATGCGTTCGAAGTGCGTACAGGAGTAAGACAAGGCTGGCTGTCTATTATCGCCGATGATATTCATAATTGTGGTGGGCTGGATTATGCGTCAGACTGTTGGAGGCGAGGAGTCAGGAATACGCTGGACCATGGATTTCTGGATTTCGCAGATGATATATGTCTAATGTCATAATGTCTAATGCTGCTTGCCAAGTAATCCACAACGGGAAACTTACGGAATCCTTCGAAGTGAGAACAGGAGTAAGATAAGCTGGCTGGTTGGCTGCCTACTATCGCCAATGATTTTCCCGATTGCAGTAGACTGGATAATGCGACAAACAGCGGTGGGTAATGAGGAAACAGGCATAAAGTGGACTCACACAAAAAAGAACTTGGAGGATATGGACTTCGCCGATGATATATGTCTGATTTCCCACAAACTAGAAGATATGCAAGCGAAAAGCAACAAGTTGGCGCAAGAACCATCCGGAGAAGATAGAACTTCCTTCAGGTTAACATAGTGAAAACAGAGGTGATGAAAATTCCTGGCCAACACCAACACCACCAACAGAAGCAACAACAACAACAGACAACAATCAGCCAGCATAAATGCAAGGAACCTGAAAGAAACAACCTCCTTCACCAACCAACCTGGGGAGCATCGTTTCAACTACAGGCGAACGGAACTGACGAGGATATCAAAACAGCGAGAATCGGGAAAGCAAGACAAGCTTTCACTACTCTCAAGTCTGTGTGCAGGAGGTCAACAGCCCTACTCAGCATCAAAACGAAGATAAGATGCGGATTGTCAACTCCAATGTGAAGTCAGTCAGTGCTACTCACTATACGGATCAGAGACTTGGCCAGTGCGTCATAAAGAGCACCTCAAACAAACTACAGACCTTCATTAACAGCTAGTTGTCTTCGCTCAATACCAATACCACTGAAGATCAGATGGCCGGCCGGCCAGGAGAGATCAGCAACAGAGAGGGATCTCTGGCAATGAGCGAACCAACCAACACAGCAGGAACCGATTGTGAAACAAATAGGCAGGCAGGAGGAAATGGAGATGGATTGATTCGCTGGCCATACTCTGAGGAAACAAACCATCAAGTGAGTGACATCACTAGAAAAGCCATGCTCGAGTGGAACCCGAATGAAAGGGAAGCGGTGAAATGGTCGTCAGTGTTAGGGTGGGTGACTTGGAGGAGGTCATGTGAAGAGGAGATGAAGGTGTGTGGGGAGACTTGGAGCCAGGTGAGAATCGAACGCAATGGAGACGCACGGCTGAAGCCCTATGTTCCTCTAGGAATTAAAGGAAACAATAATAATAATGTCACACAAACTCGAAGACTCCGAGTGAACATAGAGAAAATGGAGGTGATGAAGGTAACCAACGGACAGCAACAACAGCGACTAGCACCAATCACCATCAACGGAAAGAATGACCAACAAGAAATTATGGGAACAGACCAACAAGCAAGCAAGTGGAGATGGATCGAGCCTATATTGAGCAGGCCACCGAATGATATCGCACACCAAACCATAGCTCGAGTGGAATCCAAACGGAAAGCAACGAGTGGGTCGTCAATGAGAGGATGACATGGAGGAGATCGTGTGAGGAAGAGATGAGAGTTAGGTCAATCGTGGACCCAGCTGAAGAGAACAGCAGAAAACAGAACAAAGTGGAGATGTGTTGTTGAAGCCCTATGTTCCAATGGGAACACCTCCTTTATGTATATCTATCAGTTTCATTATTCCTGTGGAGCCAGCTACATTGGGCGTACAATAAGGTGTGTTTACCGTTGTATTTCAGAACAAGGTCTATTCGTATATCTGTGTATAGCCTACATTTGTAGATGTTATTAAGGCCATCGATTGATTCTATGATATAACCGATGGTGGCATAAGCGAAATGACTACTGCTCATCTTGTATTCACCACTCAAAAACACAATAACAACTGTGATGGTCGTCGAACATCACGTTCGACAACAACAGGGAGAGGTCGAGGTGACGGTGAATAATTCAAAATAAAATCAACAACAAAGCAGTAAGGTGCAACAGGTCGGGTGTGAGGACAAATACTCGCCGAAGACATTGGCTAGGGGTCGCGCTATGTCGTGAATTGGCAGAAGTTAGAATTCATGGGCTGGCCATTGGATCGGGTCCCAGTGCATTAATGGTATACGAGCTCACCTTGTAACCAGAAGGTCCTGGGTTCGAACCTCGGCGGTGTGGGGGTGCGTACTGATGAAGAGTCCCAAACTAGGACGAAACAGCTGTCCAGTACTCCCAGGTTTTCCAATGGTTCTCTAACTAATGTCAGCTCATGATGAAAATCCTGTAACCAATCGAATCCCTACAAACCAACACTTGAATAACAAAGCAGATTGTTACTTCTAGTTTGAATGTCTAAAAATGAATGTGAAACTATCGGAAAACATGTTCATATACACACGCACACGCAAACACACATACACAACACATTCAAACTTCCCTCCAGTGTATACACATTAATAAATATAATACAGTAAAAAGCACAAAACCATACTAGTCTTTTAACTACTAACTGAAACAAGAAAAGAATCTTTCTTTCCAAGTGAAATGTGTGTATGTGTGTGTGTACATGTACAGCAAATCTGATCACAGATACACACTGATATATGCGCGTATGTCTGTGCGTGCGTGTGTGCGTGTATGAATAGACGAAGCGTAATCAGAATAATAACTCATGGATTCCGCATTGTAGTTTTAAGAGAGAGAGGAAAACGATGGATGGGTGAGGATTGGAGGGGGGGAGGGAGAGAAACATTTCTAAGGTCTCTATAGCCTTAAGGAAGGAGAAATAAGAGAAGAAATATAACAACAGGTACCAACCATAGTTGGAAAATGTACAAAAGTGCTACACACACACACACAGTACTTATGATAATATAATTGGAAGACGAATAACAATGTTCTCTCTCTCTCTTTTAAACGTAATTACCTTTTGTACACTCATTCATTGAAAAGATTCCTTTGTTTTAAAAGAAAGATGATTGCTTCTAATTCTACATGTGTTAAAATTAGTAAAACTGTGTTTCAAGTATTGGTTTGTACGGATTTTTGATCGATTGATTACAATTGGTTTCATCATGCAATGACATCGGTTAGAGAAGTACCATTGCAAAACTAGCTGGGAGTACTGGACAGCCAGCTGTTTCGTCCTAGTTAGTATGGGACTTCCTTCATCAGTACGCCTTGTAACCAGAAGGTCGTGGGTTCGAACCCCGGTGGGTGAGTACTAC